ACATATGTGCACCCACCCACATGTGAAAACATGCATCCATGCCAAAAGAAAATTAAACAGAAGCATTTAACAGGAGAAAAATCAATGAAAAAATGGTCAGAATTTTCCTTTTCCTGGAAATTGGAGTCACCATTGTGAGTCAGTTAGCGGTGCCTTTGTAGGGAGAAAAGAGGAGTCCATGATCCGCTCTTATAATACATGTGATTGGCTCAGAGCAAGCCAGACACTAAGCAAAGCTGCCATGGGTTAGCATGGAGAGAAGCATGTGGCAGGATCAGCATGGATGGAGGAAGGCAGCCCAGATGGAAAGCATGTGGAAGCATTTATGAATTATGGATGGGAAGTAGCCCAGATAGGAATGATTAGAGCAATTGGCATGGGACGTGGGGCTGGGTGGTAACAAGGTAGATTATTATTAGCAAGGTACACAGCCAGAAGTGAAACAAGGCTTATTTAAATACAACGGGTATCTGTGTCTTATTGATATGGTAGCAGGTTAATAGTAACCGCTGTAATAATTATTGGCATTTAAATAATAAACATTATTAGTCTCAGCAGTTTTTATTTTCTACAACATTCATGATCCAGTCTCCTAATACACGTGATTGGCTCAGAGCAAACAGACACTGTAGTGTATTAACATGCTGAGACTTACAGAAAACATACCAGACAAGCTGCTGGGAAGCTGGTGAGAGCTGGTTCAAAACATCAGACCCTCCTAACATGAGTTGCCTCAGCCAAATGGGAAAGGTCACCTTCCCAAGAGGGTGTTTAGCTATCAACACAGCTGGCTGGTCTGGAAGCTTTAAGACTCTTATTTATGATGATATAATAGACAGAGGAAATGATAGATCCAGTTTCCATCCCCATCACTCATTCCCCGTGAGCTTTTCCTTGGACCAATCAAATCCCTTCACGAGGATGGAATTCATAGTTGAAAAAGACCTTCCAGAAGCGCCAGGACCCCCACATTGTGGGGCTTCCTCTGTGGGTAGCCTGTTCTCACTTATCTCTGTACCCTCAGAGAGTGTTCACTGGAGTTGGCAGACAGCCTTAGTGAAGGAGAAAGAACCAGAACTGCGTCTCAGATTTCCGGAGAGTGAAAGACATTATTGTTTACATCAAGGGTGGGTCAACCTTGGGGCTCAGGAGGGGGAGGTACAAGCTAGATCATCTTGCATCGAAAGCCACCTTTGAGGCATGGACCATCTGCTCAGAGGTGGGAGCTTCGTGACCCTCTTCTCATGCTCACCAGGCTTGCTGTCCCTAGCAGACAGTGTCCATGGCTGAGATGGAGGTGACAGGGACCAGGGCAAGTGCTCGGGTGGTAGAAAATGGAATGCCTAGGCATGGACCAAAACCTTGTGGTGGCATTCTGTGCTTGGGAAAGGGTTTGGCTTAAAATTCTCTGGAGTTATCTGCTTACATGGAGAGCAGGGACCTGATAGAAAGGGACACTGGCTCACCAAAGAAGATACATTTGGTCATGGCTAGAGCCCTTCAGTTGTTTCCCTGTTACTCCCTTTACTACCCACGGATCAGCAGCCTGGCCTTTGAATAGCCTTGCTGGGTAGGATTTGCGATCATCTCATCCTTTGAGTGGCTGGTCAGCATCATTTACTCCAGGAAATGCTCCCTAACTCTCACTCTAACCAGCCGGAGTTATAGGCCAACATAACACTTGCCCCATGGACCCGTGTGTCCTTTCTGTGTAACTGTATGAGAGACTTTTTCTATCACATTTCAGACCTTGTGAGTGCTCTAAGAATACTTATCAAAGCAGACACATGAACTGGACCACATCTTCCCCCATAATTTGAAATTTAGAAGGGCAAACTGGCCTGGAGCCTCCATTACCCACCAAAGGCCAACCTGGAATGTTCCGCATCCCCAGGGCTGGGATTCCAGTGGCCCCTTTGGTGCATAATTGGAAGTCAACAGATCTTTTCTGTCTCATCTTCAGCTCGGAGACTGTAGGAGAAAGAGGCCTGCAAGTCATTCTGGGAGTTGGTGGTGAAGAGTAAAGAGGGGCTATTTAGTCAAATATTTGAATGATAGCCTCATTATCTAGCTAGGTTACCTTAGGCAAGTCCCTTTAAGCTCCCTGACTTTCAGAGGCATTATGGGTAAAATAGGAATAATAAGCATAGCTGCTGAAAAACAGTGTAGAGGGAATTAAATGAGATTGTATGTGCAAGGCATATTGTCAACACACACTGAGAGTAGCTGAGGAGGACAGTGGTTGTGCTATTTTATGCTAGGAGCTAAGCTGACTGTCCTCCTAAGGGATGGCTGTGCAAATGGGGACGCTGAGACACAATACTGAAAAACCCATTTTCTGGATGAGCTCAGTCAGTCATGGGCTCAGCAAGTGCCTCTGCTTTTGTTCAAAAGAGGAGGCAGCCACCGGAAGATGGGTCATGGTGGGGGTGGGGGTGACTGTGAGGGAAGAGTAGCGCTTGGGCGAGCAGCCAGGTTAGGGAGCCAGAAAGCAAATTTAGCCGGACTGAGTTGACTTAGAGTGTTCGTTGTTAGAGAGGTCAGAGCGGAGAGGTTGTCAGTGCTAGTGTGTGCTTGTGTTCCAAAGACACTGAAAGTCCCCAAGAGGGAGATGGCATGGGCTAGAGCCAGAGTTCTTTAGAGCAACAGTTCTTAACTTATGGACCAAGACCCTTTGGGGGTATCAAATAGCCTACATATCAGACATTTAAGTTATAATTCATAACAGTAACAAAATTACAGCTATGAAGTAGCAATGAAATAATTTTATGGTGGGGAGGGGGGTCACCATGGCTCGAGGAACTGTATTAAAGGGTCGTAGCATTAAGAAGGCTGAGAACCACAGGTCCAGAGAAACAGAATCAATAGAATGAATGTATGTTAAAAGGGTTTATTAAATCAGCTTGCATGCTACAGTTGGGTAGTCCAGCCGTAGCTGGCTTGTTGGACTGGAGAACTAGCAGCCCAGCAGCTGCTCAGTCCGTGGGACTGGGCGCCTCCCTGGTCGCCATCTGGAGGAGAAGCTCTGGAGGATTCCTGGAGAAGCAGGTCTACACTGTGGAAACAGCAGCGGAGTACATGCGCTCAAGACACAGACAACGTAGATGAACCTGCCAGGGTGGCCAAACAACAGGAAGACAAGCAGGCAAAAACCGGAACTTTCCCCCTGACCTCCTTATAGCCACGTGCCACCGGAAGACGCCACTTTTAGAGTCTTCCTGCTTCAAATAACCTGACTAAGAAAACGCCACCCAAATGTGCCCAGGAGCTCATCTCCCTCTGTCCTCGGGAGGAGACTTCACTGGCAGTGGTGGATCTCCTCATGGTTAGCCAGATCAAGTCAAGCCGACAACCAAGGCCAACCATCGACACGTTTCCTCTAAACTGGCCTGTGGTTGAAATATAGAATTATGCCTCTCAGAAAGATTTCTCATGAACCCCTCCCGCCAGGCATGTGGTCTGAACAGGGGTGCCTGAGGGTTTCACAAGTTGCTTAGAACAACCGAGGCAACAAGGCGTCTGTTTTCTCCATAACCTTGAATGACCTTGCTTACCCCCTCCACCCTACCAGCCCGTAGCCTCGATGGATCCGTTGTGCTTCCCCCAGCATGCTCCATTCCATCTAGCCTCCAGGGCTTTGTGCTTGCCTCTGGAAGTCTGCTCAGATCTTTCCACCCCCTCTGGGCTGCTCCTCTCTCTCCTGTGACTACTTCCTCGGAGTGGCCTGGAGCACAGTACCCCCTTCCTTCCGCCTGACACTACGTCCTGCTTCCTGTGAGTCCCCCTCACGGAGGGAGATTCCTGTGAGCGATGAGTTAGTCTTCACAGTGGAGCCCTCGGTAGGGCTTAACAACCGCTTACTGAATGAATGAGAGGCGAGCGGGGGAGACCTTGTTTTAGAACAACTTAGACCATTGGTTCATACTGGCTTTATATCCCGACATGGGATACTACAGAGGATTTTGGGTGGCTGCCGATCACCGGGTGTGTCTCTGGAGTTTGTAAGATGGTAGAGGCCAGCAAAGAGAGAAGTCATGTCCTAGAGGGCTGGTGGCTGCTCAGAGTGAAGGCTTACAGCAGTGGTTCTCAATTCTCCTAATGCTGCGACCCTTTAACGTGGTTCCTCGCGCTGTGGTGACCCCCAACCCTAACGTTATTTTGTTGTTACTTCAGAACTCATCATAATGTAAACATCTGGGTTACCCCTGCAAAAGGGTCACTTGACCCCCAAAGGTCATGACCCCCCAAGTGGTCATGAGAACCCACTTAAAGGAAGGAAGCCCATTTTTGTGTCCACCATGTCTCCGGATTGGATTAGGTCCCACTGAGCAGAACCAACCCAATGCCCAAGCCAGAATTCTGCCTCGCTGAACTGGGGATGATTAAGAGCTATCAGAGGATGCGGTCAGATATGGGGGTGGTATCCTGAGAGGCCCTTAGATTTTCCCAGCCTCCTCAGCCCACCCTCGTGATTCACCAGAAAATGGGTCTAGGCTGAAAAGCTCATAAGAGATAACAAACAATATTAGGCTTTCGGGCTAATGTTGAACTTTTCCCATAAAGATATTCACTCATTCATTATTTACTGATAATCTACTCAGTAACAATCTTTTTTTAAGTTTCGAAGCTATTAGAGGACGTGAAATAGAACCTATGTGATTGGTGTTTCTATAGTCCAATAGGAGTGGACATCTAAGCATATATAGGGCACCAGGTGGTCCTTTCCCCCTCAGAACATCCTCCTGGTGCTGTTTAAGAACCTACTCCACAACTCCTGCTCAGAACTCGAAGGCAAACTCATCCTGGAGATCTGTGGATAGCAGGGAGAGAAATGGTCCTAGAAGCCTCCTAAGGCGAGGTGTTGGGCTTCCCGTGTCCATGAGGGGCTTGGCGAGGTCCTCTCCCAGGGGAAGAAGCCCCTAGGATGTAATAGCGGTGCATGGCCCATGGCCTCATGGTGGTACCTGGCCCTGCTGTCATCGTTCTCTCTGTTTCCTCAGCTGTGTGCCAGCCTCCCTGTCAGAACCGGGGCTCCTGCAGCAGGCCCCAGCTCTGCGTCTGCCGCTCTGGCTTCCGTGGGGCTCGCTGTGAGGAGGTCATCCCTGAGGAGGAATTTGACCCCCAGAATGCCAAGCCTGTGCCCAGACGGTCAGTGGAGGGGGCACTCAGCCCTCACAGGAGCAGCGAGGCCAGAGGAAGTCTCATGACCAGAATACATCCACTGGCACCACCACCGCCACCACCGCCACCACCACCCAGGTAAGTCTCCTGGGGGTGGGGGTGGGGAGCTGTGGGACAGTTACTCACCAGTAAGGAGGCAACAACACAGCTAACACCTATGTCATGGGTTTGCGAGGATCACAGCACTGGGCGCATCCATCCATACTTTACAAATCCCCTCCCCTTTATCCTGTCACACTTCCTCCATCTCCCCTCACTCTCCCTTCCTCCCCAGTGTTCTCGATGGTGTTGATATGTTCCTTCGCACACACATGCACACACACACGAGAGAGAGACCCCATTCTGTCCACTTACCACCAAGCTTTTCTTCCTCGAGGGGAGAAGAGGTTTACGTTGAAAAAGTGAACAGAATAAAACGAACAAGGGGAATCGCAGGCAGCACCTCTGTCCTGCTTAACCACCCCCAGCTCTGCACCCCAAATCTGGCTAGGTCTTTTTCTTTGTAGCTTAGGATGGGAAATCTAAACTTTACAAACTGGTCCCTCTCTAGGATGCTGTTTGCTCTGAGCTTTTTAGGTTGGTTTGTCCGTCTGCATCTGCTCACGGAGTTCTTTCTGAAATGTTGCAACCCACCTTGTCTTGCTGAACTAAGGAAAAACAGATCTGTCCTCTCAGAGCCAAGAGAACCAGGGGCTGACTCTGAGGTCAGGTCCTTAGCAGGAAAGGTCCAGAGAGACCTGCTGAGTAGCAGGAAGAGGAGGAAGGGAAGAGGGGGAGCTGCCCAGCAAGCCTGAAATCATGAGCAGCAGGCAGCCTACTCTGAGGTAGCAAGGTTGTGGAGCCATGAGCCCTCAGACACGTGCTTCCCAAGGGCAGCCAGAAACAGGAGAAAGGATAGAGGAGCTCAGGTTGAGGCTTAGACAGCTCCAACATCAAAGTCCAATCTGCGTCTATGGCCAAAGCTCGAAGATGTTCGGGCAGAACCAAGGGTCTGGGTGGACAATAGAGAGGGTCTGGGATTGGCTATGAGCTGGTGGGTGGGGTCCGGCCCTTGCACTGATTGTTATAAGCTGTGAGTTGCGAGCAGATGGGCAGATGTGAAGGCATAAGCAAGGTACCAGCTTGTGGACCATGCTTCCTTCTATAGAGCTTTTCACACTTCCTGCAGAGAGGCCACTCACTGTCCTGGAGCCAGGAACACTCTGAGAGTAAGGACACTGTCCTGCTTGTTCATGAATATATACACATATGTACAACAGATATGAATATATGTTGTTCCCTAACATCTAACAGCATGCCTGACACACTATCGGTGCCAGTCAATCTGTTAACAAATGACTGCCAGGTGGGGAGTCTAAGTTGTGTACGTTTTGTATCCTAGGGCTACTGTCCTTGGGGCAGGAGCTATCAGAGGCCAAGGCCCCGGGTGAGGCCTTTGGCCCACAGTGGGGCCATCCTCCTTGACTTTCACAGGCTTTCAGGCCAGAGGCTACTGTAGGGTCCTTAATGCACTCCAGTCTGTGGGCTGGTGCCATCCTTTTCTGCCCTGAGGCCTCCATGCATGAAATCTGGGAAAGTCCAAGCACCCCACTGTCGGCTGCTGTCCACCCAGCTGTGTTTTGCTTTGAGAGGCCAAATCCTGCATGCCTGGTAGTGCTAAACATTTCCTGTGAGACTGGCCAGGTTTCCCAAGCTGCTGCTGGCCTCTGTCCTGATAGCGGTTTGGACAGGCCAGGCCTGTCCAAAGGAATGACATGACACAGAGGACATTCTAGGAGTGGGATGGAGGGTGAGGCGTCTCAGGAGGGATAGCATTGCAGGAGCCGTGATAGCCGAAGCCCTTTCAGAAGAGCACTAGGTAGAGGCTTGGAAGGGGTAGAGGTAGATGGGAGGGAGAGGCATGGGAGGTCACAGCAGCAAGCAGAACAACCGTGGAGACCAATGTGCCTTGCTCTCCCTAGCTGCAAGGCCTGGAGAATCCCTCAAGCTCTAGGTGCAGGCTTCTACTCCAAGATTGGGCAGAGGGCCTGCCCACCTATGAGGCAACTGAGCAAGGGCTTCGGGAGTCAGGGCTGGTTACAGGAGACAAGTGAATGAGTGGGCTGTGGAAAACTGCGTTAGGTAGGGATCTAACTTTGAAGCCGGTTTCTGGGAACTTGTCAGGGCCCAGCATTTGACCCCACAGTCCAGTGTGAACGTCTCTTCGTGGTCCGAGGTGACGCTCGTGGATGCTGCTGGCCTACGGACCACAGTTCAGTACTGCGGCCTCGCGCCTGGGTTTTCCATTCAGGAAAGCCTTAGCTCTTGTTCTGAGCTTACACTCAGCATCTGTGTGACATTAGCACACATCCTAATCTCTCGGAGCCAGGAGCCTCCGTCTGATGGGAATACCAGAAGCTTGAAACGAGATCTGCTGAGTAGGGTACTGCTGTGGTATCCGACTCTAGTGCTTAGCATGTTAGCCATCAGCGGGCTGGTTCTTTTTGCCACTAGTACTTGGGTAGAGAGCAGAAAAGTGTGTGTGTGTGAGAGAGAGAGAGAGAGAGAGAGAGAAAGAGAGAGAGAGGACTCATACAGACTTGTTCTGGAACAAAATAAGGGCTCAGATTCAGCCCAAGGGGGTTCGACAAGAGGACCCACTCTGGTAGCTTAAGCTTACTTGGGGGTGTGGTTACTACACCAGGATTACTGTCACCACTCACCTGGGAGCAGCCAAATCAGCGGAAAGGTTTTGTTTCCCCAGGTACAACTACTTACTGCTCTGGAGCATCTCTCTCTCTCTCTCTCTCCCTCTCTCAAATCTCAGCTGAGAACTTTCTTTTCCTCCTGTGTCCCCTTCCTTGCTGTTTGCAGGGGCAGTGCTGGAAGCGTAGAGAGGACACGTGAATTTTTATACAGATTCCTTTGCCTTCCTCCCCTCCCCCACCCCCACCCCCACCTCAGCACATCTCTGGCCAACACAGATGCCTAGAGTGACCGGGCAGAGTTGTACAGCCTGCGGCCTAACTCGACTGATGTGTGAGCCTAGATGTGGCTAGACTCACCCAGGAGAGGTGAGAGGCGAGAGGCTGCTGACTTCCTGTTCCCCGCATGGAGCATCAGCTTCATGGTAGTCTTCTCCAGCAGGACCTGACCGCTGAGTTTCTCTCTAGCTTCCTGAAAAGGGGGAAGAACTTCTGGGCTTTTCTAGAGTTGGCATCTACCCAACTAACAGAGGCATCTGAGACTCACAGAGTCCAGTCCAGGTTCTGGGCAGGGCAGGGCTGGCCTTGGGATGCACTTGTGGCAGGTGGCGGCACACGCCTGTGATCCCAGCACTCAGGAGGCAGAGGCAGGCAGATCTCTGTGAGTGTCAGGTCAGCTTGGTCCAACATAGAGAGCTCCAGAACAGCAAGAACTACACAGGGAAACCCAGATGTACCCCAGGGCATGTAATCCAGCTTTGAACCTAGGGCTAGGGGTTGAGGGGGCAGTTTCGAGGGAGGTGGAGGCCAGTGACTCTTCCTTCTCCTATGTGGCAGAGCCAGTGACTCTCCTTCGGCCGTGCTCGGCCCAAAGCAGACATGTCTGGGTTGTTGAGACAAGCCTCGGCTTGCTCAGGAAAACAGGGGCCAGAGGTCCCCGGGAATCCCTCTGCTCCCTCCAGCGAGCAGCCATTCAGATTATATGTCCCATAATCCCCTCTTCCTTTCTCCACCTGTAAGTCCAAATGAGGACACCTGATCCAAAGAGGCCCCCAGATCGCTGATTAAATCTGGGTGTGTCTCTTTTCTAAAGACCCCTCAGAGCTTCGGGATTCTCAGGCCCCTGGCATAGCTTTGGCTTTAGAGCAGAGCCGTATTAGCTCTCCATCACTCTAACAGGATACCTGAGGTGGTTAACTTCTAAGGAGAAATGGTTTGTTTTTGACTCATAGTTTTGTAAGCTCTAGTTCAAGACTAAGCAGATCCATTGTTTCACACCTCTGACTGCCAAGCTGGAGAGAGTATGGGGAAAGCTAGATGCTCTCACTTCATGTCTAGGAAGCAAGAGATGAAGAGGAAGATACCAGGGTCCCAAAGCTCCCTTGAGGCTGTAGCCCTATTCCCACCAGTCAGTGACCAAAAGACCTCCCACTAGCTTCCCCGCCCCTGCCCTTTCCTAAAACTGCCCTTTCCACTAACTCCAAATAGCACCACCCTGGGGATCAAGCCTCTCACACAAGCTGTAGGGAGACAGTCCAGATACAAACCACAACAAGGAAGTTTCCTGGCCCGGGCTCAGCCCCACCCCTTTACAAATGCTAAGAGTTGAGCTATTGGCCTCCTACCTGAGCACCACCTGCAGCTCAGTGGTGAAGGCTACAGACTACCACCGCCACCATCACCACCACCAAGACTCACTTATCCCCCACCGTGTTTCAGGCCCAGTGCTAGTGACACTCCTTGGGACCCCCTTCGTGAACGTGAATGGCTCCAGCTTAATGATAGGTTGGAGATGGATGTTGTTCAAATGTCTTTTGGTTAATTGTGCCCTTGGAGTATAAACAGGTGCAGGGCAGGCAACTCCCAGGAGCAAAGGGTAAGGAGGTTTCCCAGAGCGCCTCGCATCTTAGTCGTGGGTCTAGGTTTCTGGCTGTAGTGGTGGATGTTCAGGTTAAGACGGGTAGGACCGGGGCTGTGGTTAGGGTAGTGTGATTTTCAGTTTAACAGTGGTGCGGTGGGTTATGGTGGGGTTGGCATTGTCATCAGCGTGGTATTATTGAACCTTAGGGGTGTGGTAAAACAGGATTTAAACTGTGGGTCTTTCGAAAGTACTACGGCTGTTGTTTTAACCTACCCCCTGTGGGAGTCTTAACGAGGAAGCTGGTTTCTTTATGGGCTCCACCTAACCCAAGGCTGGGAAGGAGAAGGCACGAGGGCTGAGAGTGAGGCTCGTAAGTCAGGCAGACCACAGTTTCATATGATTCTGCTCACGGGCTGTGGGATGTGGTGGGGATTTTTCTTCCCTTCCCAGAGGCTCGGTGTAATGTGCGGCTCCCGCTAGTGCTTGACCGCACAGGGCGAGGGGTTGAGAGATGGCAGGCCCAGACGAAGTGC